GGCATAAAACCCTAAGTGAAATTATAGTGGAAAATCAAATTGAGAAAAGGAGGAAATATATAAAAACTGAAAGGGCCCAATTTAAGATTCAGCAGTGAAAAAAAAAGAATGGAAGAAACCATACAACAGTAAATCTTATGATGACTATGAAGATCCCAAAGATGCTCAAACCATCAAAGAGGCCCAGTTGTAACACGGCACACGGCAGACTTCAATCTGAAGACAGCCTCAGACTATAAGATACCTGAGCACATGAGAATAAACACTGTCAAGAAGAAAGAGAAACTGGGACACCCAGACTCCATGGCCCATTCAAAGAAAATGCACATGAACAAGTGCATCCTCTCTCTTCAAGACCTTAAAGTGGCTGTCATCAAAGAAATACAGTGCCTGGTACAAGAACTGAAGAGCATTCAGTCGATTCTTCCCCACATATCCCAGCATATTCCTAGTCCCCAAATGCCCCAGATACACCCAGGAGAAGTTCCAGAAAAGATATTTCAATATGATGAGGAAATGCTCCTAGTTTTAAGCAACTCTTAAGTAAATGAAGAGTCAAGATGAAAAGGCTCCCTGAAGTGGAACAGGCAGCATCTGCAGGCCCAGGTGGAGGATTCCAGGTACAGGAAAACTTAACAAAGAATGTTGGGAGAGGTATAAACAGCTTATCCAAAAAGAGAGAGATGGTAAAACTATAAGCAGAATAGAAGAAATAGTTTGTCAACTAACGATCGGAAAGTTTGGCGGTATGATATACCTAGAAGTCCTTCAGACGGTTTCTGTGAATACAACGCTTGGAGAGCTAAAGATCAAGAAACTTTGAAAGGAATTACTGAATGCAAAAGAAGATGTGGTAGGAAAAGCTTGCTCAAGTGTGATGGGAGCTGATGACAAAGACCAAGGAACACACTGAAAAGCTTCATCAGATGAATGATTTATGTATCGAAAAGAAGGAACTTGAATCTCGGTTGAATACCTAAAGAACCACCAGGGCACTGCCTTCCAGGGCCCTAGGAAAGCAGACATTGTGGCAAAAGAAAAGATCACAGAACTGATCCAAGTCCAGGCAGAAAGGATTTGGGTCTTAAAGGAAGAGGTTTCTTTTACTTCAGAAAGGTGGTCTCATCCTCTCACCCATTCAGCCTCCACAAGAGAATAAGATGAAGCCCGTATGCATTGTCCCTAAGTATGCCTTTTTCTCAAATCCATCCAGGATTTCTGACATAGAACTGACCAGAAGTTGTTTCCTTGTCTCCTACAACAATCCTATTATTTTAAAGTAAACTTATCTCAAAAGTCTAAGACCAGATCCAGTCATACAGTTTTAATAATTTTTCTCCAACTTGGTTACCTTAGAACTGACTGAAGCACTTAACATCTATTTCCTATTGAACTGAATCATTTTTGATCTGTTTGGAACCCAGCGGATTGAATATGGAGTCTCAGAAGGCTGTACCTCAAAATTGCAAGAAAGCATCTGTAATACATCGTGTCTTAGTAAATTTGTCTCTTGGTTATCGGAATTTTTAGCCATTGGCAAGACAAACTATCATTCAGCAATCTGTGAGAAAACTTGCTTTTTTCCAATGCTTGGAAAATAAACTCTGAAGTCAAGTGTTCTCTGAGAGGACAAAAAGTAAAAGCACAAACTATTCTGCCAACATTATCTTAGAATAAGAAATGCAAATTAGAATTCAGACATGGTTAACTTCACTGAGCAGTTATTTAAGGGTTCAGGATGCAGGAAACACAGAGCAGTTTGCTTTGGACTGGCAGAAATCAGGAGACTACCCAGTTTCCTGAATCACCTCTGGTTTCAGCAAATTACTCAGCTCTGAATGGAGTAGTGTGTTTTACAAAATGGTCAATAAGGAGGCTTTTCTCTGAAGATGTTTGCAGCTCTACCAGTATTCTAGGTATTTCCATAGTTTCTCATGTCCTATGCCATTTTCTTTCAGGTTCTAGTAGAGTCATTTACTGTTTTTGATATAGATCCAGAAGAAATGGTAGGTTACATTGCCCTGAGAGATCATCTCTAACAATCACTTTTGATTGTGCATAACATTTTTTTTAAGTTTATTTATTTATTTTGAGAGAGAGAGAGAGAGAGAGAGAGGGAGAGACAGAAGGGGGGAGCATGAGTGAGCGAGCATGAGTGGGGGAGGGGCAGAAAGAGAGGGGGAGAGAGAATCCCAAGTAGCCTCCTCGCTGACAGAGCCAATGCAAAGCTCAATCTAAGAACCATAAGATCAAAAAAAAAAAACAAAAAAACAAAAAACAAAAACCATAAGATCATGACCTCAGCCAAAATCAAGAGTCAGATGCTTAAGTGACTGAGTCACCCAGGCGCCCCATGATTGTGCATAACATTTTAACTAATTTGAAAGTGTCCTTTTCGTTTGGAGGTTAAGTGCTCATGGGAATTCATGGCTGTACCCACTTATGGTCCCACTGATATTTGGATTCCTATAGTAATAGAACAGAGCAATTTAGATTCAGAGCTCTAATATTGATCCATATTAATGAGCTACTCCACTGAGCTGTCCCAGAGTATAAACTGATTGCTGAGAAGGAAAGGTGAAGAAGCTAATATTGAATCAATGCAGAAAGTGACTCAGCAATGTCAAGTCTTTCTAACCTGATGAGGTTGCTGATCTATGCCCCAAATTAGATAGGACTTGTTTCTTCTCATAGATTTTTTTCATATTCCTAATTAAGAGGTCTGAATAGTTCAGACCTATTGCCATAAGTCTCTGGTGTAGGAGCTTCTATACTGGAGAACATCCTTTACCTGCTTTTTCTGTTGTATGCCCTAAACTATGTGTGCCTTTCAAGCATTTTAAAAAATGTGTCAGTCATTAAAATAAACAAATAAATAGATACATACATACACACACACACATTAAATTCAGTGCGTATTTGTGTGTGCATGTGTGTGTGTGTTCAAGTATGTATTTGTATGTATTCTCTGTAATGTAAAATGTAGCTCTTACTAAGAGATCATAGTCTCAAAGTATTTGAAAGGCACAATGCAAGAACACTTTATCCACTCTCATCTCTCACTTATTCTTCCCCAAGAAGTTACTTACCTGACTAGCAAATTTGGGAAAAAAAATTGACCAGAGTCCTTTCTCATTCTCTTGTCCCTACAACCTCCCTCTTTTGTCTTCTCTTACTCTCTGTAGTAGACAAAATAATGGCCCCCAAGATATCAGGTCCTAAAATCAGGAACCTGTAAACAATACCTTATATGGCAACATCTCTGCAGCTATGAATAAGGATTTTGAGATGTAGATATTATCCTCGATTATAGGATTGGGCCCTAAATGCAACTGTTGCATCCTTTAAAAGGGAGGAAGAGGAGATTCTATACATAAAGTCAATCTGAAGACAGAGTAGAGAGAGATTTCAAGATACTGACCTTCCCTGAAGATCGAAGTGATGCAGTCACAAGTCAAGGAATGCTGGCAGTCATTAGAAGTTAGAAGAAGCAAGGAATGATTATCCATTCTTCAGTTGCTGGAAATTTCAAAAGATTAATTTTAAAGGTTCTTTCCATGCCCTTAGTGTGAAAATATTACCAGACTTATATCTATGAGTGAGGTGAGATATTCTGAGAATTGGGAAGGCTCTGCACATCAACTTGTACTTCAACATGCCTCATAATAATAATGGCCAATACACTGAGTAATAATTACATGCAGAACATACCATGTACATAATTCGGTGAGGTGTGCATCATTACCCTTGTTTTACAAATGAGAAAACTCAGAGTCACAAATAACTTATCCAAAGTCCTACAACTAATGACAGAACTAGGTTGTACATCTACTTTGATTTGCCTCCAAAAACAGAGCCCTGTCCATTTCAACTTCAAGTGTCTCTCTGTGTTACCTATCCTTGGTTTCCTGAGACTGGGCTTCTGTATGTTAACCTGTTCCTCAAGCAAGCTGTATGCTGCAGTTTGTACATACAAAAATATACATAATAAGAAATTCTTTACATATTACATAACAAGAAATTTTGTTCACAAGAAATGGCATTACAAAAATATCAGGGTTAGAAGAGTTCTTAAAGATCCAAATAGCAAATCTTTTTACAGAAAGGGAAAACAAGGCCAACAAATTTGCATACATGTCTAATATGCAACCAGCTAATCAAAGCAAATTTCCTTGCAATGTAAGCAAATTTTTAATACTTTGTAAATTCTAAGTGGAAAGTAACTCCAAACTTACTTGATCATCCAAACACTGTAAAACTTCGATTAATGTCTCCGTTACTTTTCTCTTCCCAAGCATATATGTAGGGCTATATGAAGCTGATGCCTTGTAATGGCAAAACCACCCCTACTTTTTGAGGGGTTGTGAGGATTTGGGGATCCCATGATCAGAATACTAACTGTATTTAAAGTGGTAATCCCACTTCACAAAACAAACCCCAAATATTCCCACAAGGTCCCATCAAGTCACAAATTAAAATTCTTTTAAATATGAGAATGCTACCGAGCACCCCTGAAACACAGTGTGGTTTGTTGTTTTAGTTTTCTGGGACATATTCTCATTTGCTATACGGGCTTGCTACATATTTATTTGGCTTCAGGTGGAACTGTTACTGCACATTTAAGAATATTCATTACCCTCGACAATCATAAACGAAATAAACAGTGAATGCATGTGCTGAGAAGAGAGGAAAAACGTTCTGAGTAAGGCTACACAGTATTTGTTCACGCCCTGTTGCACCAATACCTTTCCCCACAGGAATTTCCAAACACCTCCGGCCAGGTAGCAAAGGGCAAAACACAGAAAAGCCCCAGCTTTGAGCCCAGTAAGGAGGCCATCCGCCCACCCATCAGCCAATCTGAAGCCGTATTCCGCACCTGCCCACTGCTTGAGCGACCTTTCCCCTACGGCCCGCTGCGGTCCCCTTTTACGACAGTTTTCCGGCCTAATTTGCGGCCGCTACTGCCGTATTTCCTGGGCACCTGTGTCTGAGCGGTTTGTGCCTGCTCGTGTCCGCGTCGCTCTCTGGTAGGGGCGTGAAATTTTGTGGCTGCGGCATTTGGTCTGGAATGAACCGCGCTCTCGGTGGAGGCCGGGGAGCCGAGCCAGAGCCATGGTGAGTGCGGTTTTCTGGTCCCCTGGGCGATCTCGTGCCCAGGCCACAATCTCAACTCGTGACCTGGGAGGAGGGGAGCCGAGGTTGTCTCCCCAGTGAGACTCTGAAGATGTAGGGCCCCGAAGAGTCGCACCCTCTAGGACACAGAGCTGCTGGCACAGCTTTCTAGGGCCTTTGTGTTCTACTATGGCCTTTGTGCAGGGGGCTGCAGTCCCTGGTCCATTGTCTCCGAGGCTGAGAGATTAGTGGAAACGCGTTTGATTAGATCTGCCCTTCCGCAAACATCCTAACAGTACCTTCTCTACTTTGCTCTTTTTCCTTGGCTCTTGCCGATACATCTCTTCTCGGTTCCTGAACACATTTGGGCGTCGGTTCTGTGGTCGAGAGACGCCCCAGTGCCGAAGGCACTCTGAAAAGCGAGTCTAGTGAAGTCCACATTTAACGTTGAGATGCGTTATCAGAATTCTACAGTGACCTTAAACAGTTCTTTCTCTAGCAGAAATTTTATTTCCATTATTCTTGATTGAACTTGAATGTGGCCTCATTTGCCCGGAGATGCAAAAGACGTTTTCAAAGGGAGGGAAATCATTCTTTTCACTCCTGTAAAGGTAAATATGCAAGTCGGCTCGCCCTTCCCTTTCACAGTGAAAATCCAGTATCTCTACAATGAATTGGACATAAAAGTCCTTTTAAAGGGCCGTTGGGTAGGATATTTTCATCCTAAAAGTTGTTTCTCCCTTTGAAATAAAACTTGTGATGAGGTGGAATGGGAGAATGGGTACCATAGAGAAGGGTGATAATTAAAAGAAGTAAATATTTACTCTGCTTCCCTTTACCAGGCCAGTACAGTGGTAGCAGTTGGACTGACCATTGCTGCTGCAGGATTTGCAGGTTTGTTTATGGTTTGGAAGTGGAAATGAAGCAGGGAAAGTTGGAGACTTTTTAATTATTTTGTTGCTTTTGTTTTTAGGCCGTTATGTTTTGCAAGCCATGAAACATATGGAGCCTCAAGTAAAACAAGTTTTTCAAAGTCTACCAAAATCTGTAAGACTTACTAAACATTTTTGCTAATTCTTTGCTGTGTTATGAAGCCCAGAGTCACATTTGAAGAGGGTAAATTTCCAAACATCCATGAAGCTCTTAAGAGATTACTTTGGGCCCCTTCTCTTGCTTCCTGCAAGAAGGGTTCTGAGCTTTGTAATGTTGTTACCCTGAAAAAAATCAAAATGTTTTGTGTGACAGAATTGGGGCTGAGGGATTAACACAATTCTGGTACCATGAAAATCAATTCTACTTCATTGTGTAGATACTATTAACTCCAACATCATTTGTCCACAAATTCTTGCCTTCCCTCATCTGCTCTACATCACAAAAACACAGGAATCTAGGAATCTGAAGTGATCCATTCTTAACTGTGTGGCCCTGGCATTCTCTAATAGATACTTGGATATCACTGGAATTAAGTAGGCTATAGAGTATGACTGGATATGAATGTCACACCTTCCATGGTCACAGTTCAGAATGAAATTGGCTGTGGCAGCCTGTTGAGTATTTATTTTTATTGTTGTGATTGAATGTGAGAATAGAGTGATGGTAGGCTTTACCAATATGATCTCTGACATAACAAGGTCAGAAGAGCTGGTAGCATAATTTTCTCGATACTTAGTCTTGTTTTAGTAGTTGCCTTGACCCTCAAAATACCCTTGACTCACTCATCTGAAAACATCTCCAAATCCTTTTCTTGAGGCACTTGTTTTTCTAAAACATATAATCATATTCTTACATCAAATTTTTATCTGTAACACAGCTAACTTGGAATAATCTTCCTGTTATTCCCAGAACTGGCTTTGAGGCACTGTTGTTTTGTCTTACATTTTTAAGACAGTTTTTCTGGGGAAAAAAAAAAAAAATATGGATGTTTAACAATCATTAAAGTATTTGCTGCTACTTACAAAGCTAAAATACCATAGGAGTTGCAGTTAAAATTCTCTGAAAAGTCTTAATTTTTCTGTTTCTAGGAACAGTTATCAAAATTAAACTTTCAGTTTTTCAGTTATCAACTTTAATAAACATTCAGTTTATTCTAATAACCCATTTTTACGAATGCATTTCCTCTTTCAGGCTTTCAGTGGTGGCTATTATAGAGGTGGGTTTGAACCTAAAATGACAAAACGAGAAGCAGCATTAATACTAGGCGTAAGGTAAATAATTTCTAATATTTGTAATATTTTTCTACAATTCTAGAGCTATGAGCAAACATAAAAAGATCTTTTGTTAAGAGTTATAATAGTTGTATACATTTTTAAGATCTAAACACTCCCTACAAGTCCATTGAGAAGGCACTCTGGTACATAAGCACTCAGTTCATTGAAAGGCTTTTAAACAGATAATTGCAGTGCTCAGTGTTGTTCTCTAGAACACATTTTTTTTTTTTTTTTTTTTTTTTTTTTGTGGTGAAATTCTGCCTTCATTTCCAGATACTTAAACATGTTTTACCTTTCAGTAAAAGGGTTTTTAGGATTATCAAGTTCAACTAATTTTTTAAGAATGTCTTATTTTTCTAAGGAGCGGTTTAGTTCCTTGATTCAGAATATTCATCTTCCTTATGTGCTATGAAAGAGGTTCCTAAACCACTTCTCATATTGTTTTGATGACTTGACTCCAGCTTCACAGCATCTTTAATTGGCTTTTATATACAATTTTTTGATGTGATCCAGACATAGTCTGAAGTAAACTATACCTTTTCCTTTTTAAATTAGCCCTACTGCCAATAAAGGAAAAATAAGAGATGCCCATAGACGAATTATGCTTTTAAATCACCCAGACAAGGGTAAGTACCTGTTAAATTCTTACAAGTGTTTTAAAGTGACTAGTTGTTACTAGTGGAGTAATTTCATATTTAATTCTTGGCTATTACAAGGGAAATGCTTAAATCTGTGTGTAAGCACTGTTGCCCAGGCTGGATCCGTTTTCCGGTGTCTTAAAAGAATAAATCCTGAGTGAAAAAATTTATAGAATAATGACCATGTCATTTGAAAGTAGGGGTAAGCATTAACAATGTTTTCAGATCTTAAGTAGTGATAAAATGTGACTTCTAAATACTATTAATACTACTGTTTTTTTTTGGGGGGGGGGGACATATTCTTAAAGAAAATGTTAAGTTTCAGTTAAACTAAAAATTTAATTTTTTCTATCCATTTAGACCTTTGAACTATAGGTTTCCTAGTTAGAAACCTATAGGATATATTTCTCTCTGATACATGTCTAAGCAGCCTTGGCTGTGTTCAAAGAAAGCAAATAATTATTTAGGAATACCAAAATAGAGACCACAAAATACATGTTCCAGTGCACAAATCTTTTTACTTTTGTAGGATAGGCCTTTCATTAAGAGCGTTTTGAGTTTAAACTTGGTTGTCATTGTTTTTATCTGACTGTAGTAGCCTCCTTTAACGAAATTTAGCTTGCATTAACTGGGGGGGCTTCTGATTCATTTAGTATGGTGCCTGTAACATTGCATTTCTACCAAGCTTCTTACTGGGATGCTGATGCTTGCTGGTCTGAGAATCACACTTTGAGAATCATTGCTCCAGCAGAGTAGTAGGAAAGCACCTGCAGATAACATCATGAAGGCACAATTAGTAACATGAAAAGAGAAAAACTGTGAAGGATAGAAAAGGAGTGCAAATCATAGTGGGGTCTTTCCAACAAAGCTCAGAAACCTCTGAGAACATCATGTTTTCAAAATAACATAGTACAATAAATTCATGTTCATTTACAACTTATAATCATCATAAATAGGTAACATACACCATTTCAAGGTCACATGTGGAGGTGTTTTTAATCCTATTTGTCAAGTTTAAGTTTTTAAAGGTGCCATTTTTGTGGAAATATTCCTCATGTGATTTCGTTTACTGTTGATCATACATATTACCATACATTTGGTGATCTGGTTGCAGTGTCCTCATTATTTTCTGCTAATTCCACCTATCAGATGAGCATAGGGATCCTTGAAGAGAATAGGTTTTCACCAAGCAGAAATTAAGAAGCCATATTATAACTATTCCTTTTGGGGCGCCTGGGTAGCTCAGTCGATTAAGCAGCTGACTTCAGCTCAGGTCATGATTTTGCGGTTCGTGGGTTTGAGCCCCGCGTTGGGCTCTGTGCTGACACCTCAGAGCCTGGAGCCTGCTTCTGATTCTGTGACTCCCTCCCTCTCTCTCTCCCCCTCCCCCACTCCGGCTGTGTTTCTCTCTCTCAAAAATAAATATTAAAAAAAAATTTTTTTTTAATAAAATAACTATTCCTTTTTTCTTTCTTCCTATAGGAGGATCTCCTTATATAGCAGCCAAAATCAATGAAGCTAAAGATTTACTAGAAGGTCAAGCTAAAAAATGAAGTAAATGTGTGAATTTTAAGTTCTTGTTAGTTTATGTATATGCGTGCTAGCTTTTTATAATAAAAGGCCTCAAAGCTACAAATTTTAAAAATGATTTAGCACAAGCTAAACCAAAGCTTGGGTATAAGTTTCTTTGAATTTGAGGATTTTAAATCAGATGATAAAATATTTGGAGATTTAACACTTAGTAATTATGGATAAATGCATACCATCTGAATAGAAATATTTTTCATTATTCATTTAGCAAGTAATTTCTTACCCACTTCAAGGCAAAATGAATGTGACAGTCTGACTTTGAAAGGGCTCCCAATCTAATGGGATGCTGATAAACTGGTAATTAAAATACAGCGGGGATAGGGGCACACGGATGGCTCAGTCTGTTAAGCATCTGACTTCAGCTCAGGTCATGATCTCACAGCTGTGAGATCAAGCCCCACATAGGACTCTGCACTGGGCATGAAGTCTGCTTAAGATTCTCTCTCCCCCTCCCTCTCCCAGGCTCACACACGTGCACACACGCATTCTCAAAAAACAAAAACAGAAACAGTGGGGTATTAGGATGGCATGAATTCACACAGGTTTGTTATAGGAGGGATTCATCTTATTGTGAGAAAAGGCTGTTCACAGTTCAGAAAACTGACCCCACTGCTTGTAACCTTAAATTTTAAAAATGAATTTAGGTACATCTTTGACCTAAGAAATATATCTAACTATATTATTGACAATTTAGATTTCATACATTAAAAACTATACCGCTGTAAGATGTTAGAATATAGATCTTGTTTTTAATCAAGAAAATAATTACATTGTATTGAACTAGCCCCTTAAAGAAATGGAAGAAATATATATATATATATGCATAATAAAGTTTTGCATTTGCTATAACCAAGGTTAACCATAATTAGTAAAACTAAAATGAAATGCTCTCAGTTATCAAAATACTCAGCTTGGACTACTGGAGAATTTATACTCCTATTTAAATGATATTTGAGGGTAAAATGGCTATTGGCCTAAACCTCAAACCTAGGGATCTTAACCACAAGACCTGTATAAAACATATGAAGTAAATAAGTAGTCTGTGGCCACCACTGGAAATACTATCTTTAGCTCTAAAATGGTAATTTATACTACCTATCATCTAAACCTTTAAGTCATCTTAAAGTTCCTAATTGTCAATGGAGAACACAAGACCTTCAAGGTCAAAATGGTGGACGGCAATCATATTTAGTGTTGGAATGTGTTTACCTGCGCTTCAGAGTTGGGTTAGACCTGCTGTAGGTTTATTTCCCATCCTGTTTCCTTGTTTAAAATCTGATCGAGTCCACTTGTTAAGATTTAGAGTATGAGAAAGCACCAGTTTACAGCAGCCATGGGTGTTACATATGAGACGTCTTTTTTAGTAAAGAGGTATGAAGGTAGTTTGTGATTCAAAGTAGTTATGTTCTAGAAGTTACTGAAACACTGAATTTAACAAACACCGAACCATTTGTTCATACCTCTGAACTTCTGGGTCCCATTTTTATCAACCAGTCAATATATAACCTTGTTTTATGTGTGCTTCTATTTAAAGACATCTTATTCATGTTGTTGATTCATTAATATTAAACTTGTAGTCAACAATATGGCTCCTGTCAGCATATCGCAGCCTTGTTTAGGAATGCTAGGCAGCACTTCACTAGGCTTGAGGACAGTTAAACAGGAAAGCCATCAATAAGGACAAAAATGTGAAGAACTTGGCATTAAATGGACCACAGAAGGCATACTTGTTTACAGTATAAATGAAACAAGGCAAGCTTCACTTTGGGCACTGGGTGATTAAATTTTCACTACTCTTTATGGCCACGAATGACTAGGAAAAGTACCTACACATGTTGATTTTGGGGTTACAAATTTTACCAAGTAGGTGAATTTGCAAATAAGGAATCTAATGAAGAAGACCAACTGTATTTTGGCTTACTAACCTTTTATTTCAGTCTTTTCGACTAATCAAGTTTCTTGAACAAGAGCTTTAAGAGATATTATCAATTAAAACTAAAAACAAATTTTTGAAAGACAAATAGAGTGTTAATATGCCCACAGGCAGTCAAGCATGAACCTTGAAAGGGAAAAAGTCATGTAGTAGGTATATTTTTAGGTGTGTAATACAAATAGCACACCTGTTTAAAGGCAAATATTAAGACAATGAAAAATGCTTTAAAATAACACTGAGCACAACAAAGCATGTTTTTCTTTCACAGTAATCAGTTTTATTTCCTCTAGGCTTACCTTAAATGGAAGAATCCACATTTCATTGTAGGCTATTAAGCACTCCTACCATTTTTCTTGGGGAAAGGTCACTTGCGAGAGGGCTTCCAGATCATAGTGGGTAATTGATTCAAGTAAGATCTGTGTAAAAGAGCCTTCCTCTTTTAATGTTTTTTTTTTAATGAAATACTTGATGTGTAATGTTAACGTTGACTACTTAACAGTGTGCTAGACAAGTAAGCATTTAAGCGTTTCACAAGGAAACAATAGTGAGATTAAGTAATTTACCCAAAACAGCATTCTGAATGAGAAGGCTGATCTTTCTCAAACCTAAAGTTCCATGCTTTGTTAACCTCTGCACTGTGGTACCCTTCACATATTTGAAAACCCAGGGATATTTGCCTTAGTGGTAAGGAAATTTGAGTCTGGGACTTTGTCCTTACACTTTCAGCTGGGGGCCTTTTTATCAGTAGGTACTCAAATGGTTTTTTAAGGGTGGGGTGGGGGGAAGTGGAGGTATGAACACAACACTGGGACATAGGAATATCTGGCATACCAGAGATTTAGTTCCCCTAATTTTGCCTTGACTGCCTCAGAGTTGACATTATGAGTCCTATGCTGCTTTATAAAAAATGCTTTGTTGGTGAGGAAAGTAGGGTATAATAAGTGGTTCTCAAAGTTAAACCTTTTCCCTCTCTTATTTTCCAAATGATGGAAATACCTATGGGGGGGAAAAATTGGGATGCTTGGGTGGCGCAGTTGGTTAAGTGTCCAAGTCTTGATCTCAACTGAGGTCATGGTTTCACCATTTTTGAGTTCAAGCCCCGCATCACGCTCTGCACTGATACTGCAGAGTCTTGCTTGGGATTCTGGTTCTACTGCTCTCTGACCCTCCCCCACTTGTGCTCTCTTTCTAAAAATAAACTTAAAGAAAATTCCAGTTCTACAAAATCAGTATCCCAGAACACCCAAACCATTCAAGAACTTGTGTGAAAATAGGTGGAATATTCATACATATGTATTCTAATTCTAGAAGATTGATTATATGGTTTTCTCTGCTATCCTTACTCTAGAATCGAAGCAAAAAAGGGCATAAGGCAGCTAGAAGTAAAAAGTAGGTAACTAGCATCTTTAATACAGGGGTAAAACCCTAAGCATGTTAACTGTGCCACACTACAGTTATATTCAGCGTACTGAAAATGTACACCTTACCTTAAACCCTGCGTCAGAAATGATTATTTAAAAAATTCACTCAGGCAGAATGCTTCAAAGAGTTGACAAGTCACGTTTAAGTTTCAACACTCAGGCTAGAATTGAAACAGTTGTTTCAATGGGAGAACAGGATAGAAAAAAATATCTAAATTTGAGATAAAGTACAAAAACACCGTTTAAAATGTTAGAGTGGGTTTTTGGTTATAAAAAAGAATCTTGGACTGAAAGTAACCTTGAGTACCAGGAAACATCAATGACCTAAGCTCCTTTTGCTCTTGGCACTGTTGAGTACTGTGTATCTCTGCTTTACAGCCAAAGCCAAGTGTTGCCTTAGCAACAGAATATAGAAGGAGCTTCTATCCAGTGTTACTAGTTTTTCCTGACCAAAAGACAATGTCTACAATCCAGTGTTAAGGTCTAATATGAATATGTTAACACTTGCTGTTACCTTAGTACAAGTGCAATTAATGGCATGTCAAAAGTAATGTTTACATTCTTTACAACCTGAAAATGGGCAGGTTGAAAATGAAGCTCAAACAGGTTGACACAAGCTCCAAGGCAATATAAATTGGTTTATCCACAAAAACTGTGGGAAATTTTTTGCAATACTCCCTAAATTAAAAAATGAGCAACTACTTTTGACAATGCAAGTAAAAAAGTTACAAAATTATTCACAGAATACCCCTGTAATTTCACCCCAAGAAAAATTTACCAATCAGTGAAACAAATTTGGCAAGTTATTAACTAGTATACTAGGGAATAGTGGGGCTTTAGGACTGAGATCAGTGAAAAATAATCTTGCCCTTGCTTTTTGCTATCTTTAGACTGCACATGGCATAATTGGAAATGTCTGGTTTAAGTACACAGAAACTCCCAATTCTATAAACCTATACCTGCAATTTTCAAATTACCAAAGAAGTAATACGCAAACCAAATGTATTGGTGGAGATCCTCTTAAAGAGAAAGCTACATGATAGTCTACACCTTATTTCAGTACTTGAAGTAGTAATATAGAAGGTACAGATGATTCTTTATAACGTGATCCGCTGATAACCTTTTAAAAAACAATATATTTGAGTGTATGTACATCTCTCACCAATAAGGGGTTTTCAGGATGATTAGACTCTTGGTTGATTTCTAGAGTAAAATGATCATACTTAAAAAATCATACATAAGAAAATGCCACGTTTGTAGGTCAAAAATGGTCAACTGTGGCAATCTCCTATACTTCAACATATTGGACTTTCAACGAGTGCAACTTCAAATTACTACCACTTGCCAAAATTTAACTATACATAGCAGACTGATTGTTGCTTTGAGTTTCTGAAATAAAACCCAAATGCTATCAAAAGTTGTGACTACTATCCATTCAAGAAAGCTTTCTAATAAAACAAAGTTTAAAAAAGGAGTCCCCAAATTCACTATACCAGATGTCCTTATAAAAAACATAGGGGATCCTGGGAGGGGCCCCTGAGTGGCTCGGTCCATTGAGAGTCCCTTGATTTTCAATTCAGCTCAGGTCATGATCCCAAGAGCAGAGCCTGCTTGGGATTCTCTCTCTCTGCCCCTCCCCTGCCTGCGTGTGCACTCTCTCAAAAGAAAAAAGGTATAGGGGATCCAAACCATAATAGCAAAAAGGTAGGAAACTCAGTGAGGATTCACACCATCCTTTTATCTTTTGGAATAATGCCAAACACAGAGATCCAGTTCAATCCAAATTCCTTAAAGCCTTCTAGAAAATCCAAGTGTAAAAGTAATTTACCTTTACTCTCCAATAATCACCAGTACAGGGCTTAATGCATTACAATCAGGTTTTCCATTCAGCTGTCCTTCCTTAGATTAAAAGCTTTATTGTAGGCATAGCCTATGAGAAAACTAGGTTGATTTCAACTTCAAGAAAATGCAAATCTGTGTGAAGTTGTATTTGGTACTATTATCCAATCTAAGTGCAACATTGTTAATATGCCAACTCCACAGAGACCTCTCTCAAATTACAAATCAGATTTCTAGCAAATAACAGCTACAAAAATACCCCATGTTATTAGCATCGAGGTGATGGATCCGAGCTACTAAAGAATGGCTGACATGGAGATCCAGAAAACAATACCAGCTACTTTTGCCTCTTCCTCAGTAACTTATTAGTGTTTCTGTTCTTAGATATTTTACTTCCCTACGTGTACCTGTATTTGTTTTGCACAACTATTTAGGCAACTTCCCTCAGCCTTGTTCTAAGGAATGTCTGAGGTTTTCACGAACAGTTCGATGTCCTGCTTCTCTTAACTCCACATTAAAATACACAAAACGACTTAAAAGTTGGTGTATTCTTAGTACAATTTTACCAAAGGTTACTGTTTTACCAAAGGTGACTGATCTATCAACAAAGACCCATACACACCATTTTGCAAGTTTTAGGCCCACTGACGGCTTTAAAAAGGTGATTCCATGGGCGCTTGGCTCAGTTGGTAGAGTATGCAACTCCATCTCAGGATTGTGAATTTGAGCCACACGTCCGATGCAGACATTACTTAAAATCTTTAAAAAGTAATGAAATGAAAAGGTAATGCCAAACCCAAGATCCTAGGCTTACCAAAGTTCAGGAAAAGATTTTTATCCCCACATAATCTTAATAAGCTTCCAGATGTGATTTCACCTAAGTATACTGAAATATGGGGGTTGCACAAGACATTTGGGCTTTTCTGTTGAGTGTCTTTTAGCATGGCCTTACTTAGCAAGTTTTCCCAGAGCAACATCTCACTTAACTGGTGTAGTAGCCAAAAAAACATACATCCCTCTCAAATAATCTGGTGGGCTATCTAATCACCAATAGCTACCGCCTTTGGGGAATAGGCTTTTTTGAATCAGAGTATACGGTATTTACCCAAGACTCATGGTTCTGCAGTACAGAAGATGCTGGGTTTAGTCACTTGTAAATAATGAAATCTTGATACTAATTTCCTAGAATGTGGTTATTCTGAACAACTGCTTGTACAATACCCACTTTCTAAGATGGTTTTAGGTTACTTTCTCAGTGAAACAATCTTTATGGCAGAAGAATCTTAGTGAATCTATTCTACATGGAAGAAAATGAAAAATCATTTTTTTCTTTACACCATATTTACCACTTTGGGGATTAATGAAAATTCTCTTAACTTGTAATTAATCTGTAACCCTGTTACTCTAGACAAGAAATAAAGAGCCAACAGTTTTACTTCTTTCTTTTGATGGTTAAAAAAGACATCTGTGGGTTAAGTTTTTTTTAAAACTCAGGATATGATTTGATACTGTTATTCAAAATCCAAGGATTGCACTAATCATACCACACCTTACTTATAAATTCTATTATTAGGATTTTAGGGAAATGCAGTTAATGCCATCACATGTTAACCTCAGTGATAATAAACGTGAGGTCTAGGGTTATATGTACACTGACCTGACAATTATTACATTTTTAGCAATACCTTGAAATGTCTTTCAGCCATTATAAATTAACTAAAACCACTTAACAGTTTTATGCACATAACAAATTAACACAAATTATGCACATAAAAAACACTTTCAAACATCAAGTGACAGAAAGGGCTGTCTTTCTTGCTCAGTGGTCTATATATACTATAGAAAAAAATCCTCCAGTAAATCCACAATTATCTGATATGACCTCACTATTATCTGCATAATTATATCATTATTACTCTTTGAAACACTTTATGTGAAGTCTTCATCTTCCTAAAATTAAGTAATGTGGCTAAAATATATACAAAAAATACAATCATTAGTTTGACAATCTTCAAAATTATTTCCTTGAGAATCAAAAACCAAGTTCATGGTCTACTTCTTAAAAATTGCTTACCATTCTGATTTATAAAAATATTTTTTAGTAAATTATCAAAGGCCAAAGTAAAATTCTGCATTTTATCCCACTGCCTTCCAAAAGTTGCCTTTGAGTAGATTATAAAACTTTTCCTAATTATTAAATGTATGACCAATTCCCTAAGCCAATCTATTCTAACAGACTAAATTTTAAGCTTTCAGAGGTTTCATTACAAAATAATTAACTCATCAATTAATATTTTAATATTTTTATACTATTTATGAGCAAGTAATGCTTTTTTAAAAGCAATTAGGATAACTATTCTAGGCCTATTACTAGTTCCAACTACTATGCTATAAAAAGTATACTGGTATAAAAAGTAGAAAGTTAAAAATCAGCAAATGGAAGATCAAAGTTTATTTACTACCTGCATACAAAAACATATTGCACATCAAACAACCAAAATCAAAAAAAAAAAAAAGAAAAAAAAGAAAAAAGAAAAAAAGGAAAAGAAAAAGAAAAAAAGGAAAAGATACTCTATTGAAGACTAACATGTACTTTTATACAGAATAAACCTGGAAATTGATCTTTTCAGTAGTTCAGGTTATCTCTGAAATGGACATGACTAATTCAGCTTAGTGTTTTAACTAAAGCTATGTTTGATTTTTAAATACTGTACACTTTAATAAATAAACCAAACAAAGCCTCAATGTAGAACAGTCACTGCCAATATCACCCAGTGTCCCTGCAGATGAGAGTTTAACAAATGTATTCCAGTGGTCTGCAGATTTTCCTCAACATACAGCATTTAAAAAACACATTAAAACAGACCAGTTTCCAGACTACACTAATGAAGAATTACAATTCAGTGCAAAATATTTTAGACTGCATTTCATTCTAGTTTTCCTCAGGTGAAGAAGTGGTTGCATATTATTAAAAATGTAACAAAAGCAGCTAATGCTTTCATAAAGAATATTACGTTAGGGATCCCACCCCACCCTCCTCCCCCCATCTCTGCCATATTTTGAAAACAAAATAACATTTCCTATAGCCAGCAACTTTTTTTAATGTTACATATACTATTCTCAAGGCACATCTGATGATATATTTTATAACACAGTAGGTGTCAAAGTATGTTTAACATATGATTTCTTCAGGATCCCTCCCCTTTCTGAATTCCAAATGGAGGAACTGAAAGTGCGATGTAAAGACTGGCGATCCATATTCTATCTTTGGCAAGCTTGTACAAGCACTATTGTAAAATGTAATGTAAAAGAACTGTAAACTAGGAACTTCTTCAGTTTATGAAACACCATTCAGGACTGCTGCTTCTTGAGTGTTTTCTTCTTTTAAGGTATTAATCTTTTCTTCTCCTGGAGTACGCTGTAGCTTAGAAATTTCATCGCCAGAAGCACTAGTTGGGCCATTTATTGCCTTTTCTGAAGGACCATGCTCTTCAATCACATCTTTTGCCTGCCAAAGGGAGACAACTTTTTCAACTTCTTTATAAATGAAATCTATAGCTGAGGAGGAAAACAGCTATATAAACATTAGCTAATAAATCATTTCAGTTTCACATACGACATTGGATCAAAGAATTAAAATGTTCTTAAAAGTTTCAAAGCATATACCAATGTATTCCACCTCTACTGGTCTTTCAACTCTATCTCTAGTACCTAGCAGTCCTTAACAACAGGAAGAATCTGGACTTGTTTACTGAAAACTTGAACCTAATTTAATTTTAACCACTGGAAAGCTCACCATGTAAAAGATATAAGGTTAATACCCTAAGCAAATAATGCCTATTTTACTCACCTTTACATTTCACATCTGTTAAAGCATTTAAAAGACTTGACACTTAAAGAGGTCTATAGCTATCACTGAGAAGAGATATATATAGCCTACTGCTCCCCAAATTAAGCCAATAGTCTCTGTCCAATATCTTTGGATAGACTGAATTTTACAAATGCTATTTGGAATTCTAAATGAAAACTATTCCAGGCTCAAGCATGCATATCTTCAGTTACCTGGGGCCAAGAACAAAACAAAGAGTAGTCTTTAAAATATTATTTGTCTAGTTGGGGAAACAAGTGATCATACAATAAGATAAGAAGTAAACATAAAGCTAAACCATACCAAAAAAAATAATAAAAAAATAATAAAAAAAAAAAAAAAAAAAAAAAAAAAAAAAAAAAAAAAAAAAAAAAAAAAAAAAAAAAACAGAAACGAAAACCAAACCAACAAAACCTACAGGTTAAATTCTCCTTACCATTTCTTTCTTGTTTTTAGCCAAAGTTTCCCTTGGGATGTTTCTTTGTCTGCTCTGAGACTCAGCTCTAGAAATATAATCTGCAACTGTGACTGTTGAAGATGAGAAAAAAATTACAGGTGTTGAAAAAATATTTCTAAAGTTTATTTATGGATAAAGAGTAATTTTACTTTTAAAATAAACTGACGGTGGGTAACCCAATTTCAAAATTTTAAGCTGGGTACCACCTCCAACCAAAAACAAAGCTTGAAAAATGTGCCTGTGATTTAGTGCTGACAATAGAAAATTCCAAGCTGGAGATCAAGGAAGCCTAGATTTAAGTCAGCTTTCTTAAGAATCCAGCCATTGCTTCTGGTTTACTCCACGGTTGGGATAAAGTTTGATATAGAAATCCACAACCAAGAATAGGAAATGCAGCATTCTCAGCCCAGTGTTTGCAATTCTCAGTGGGGAAAAAATGGGGCACATTTGGTGCAAATCACAGTGTGCTATACTTCACCAGAGATATAAAAGATGTACTCATATATTAGTTGTTTTTGTTTTTGTTTTTTTTTTAAGTACAAGATATCCAAGTGTGGTATTTTACAGTCCTTCTTTTAACATTTCACACTAGAAACCATTGTGAGTGATCTAAAATAAAAAACTACAAGCAAACTAAAGATGGCAGACCATCACCCTAAAAACGTGGACATTAATTCTGGTGGGCCATTAATTCTGTAACAATCCCTTCCCTGCTTCAATAATCTTTCAAGGGACTAACTGAAGTGTTATGTGTGTTTTGCAAGGAAGTGGATGGCAATAGTGACATAAGAAAAAGACTAACACAAGCTAACACCCTTCTGCCAACCCAAGTGGAAAAAAATGATCTCTGTTCTACAGGTACTCTGGCCTCACTTTACACCTCAATCCTTTCTCTTTAGGACTTTATAGCTTAGAATTTACTGATTTGAAGAAATGTCAAAATGATTGCTCTCTTTCAAAGAATTATTTTCTCCCAGAAACTGGTGAAGAAAATCTCTGATTATGTGAAATACAAGGTATTTTAAATTACAGGATGAGAGCAGGTTTATGTAAAGAATGAAAACTTCAAGTAAATTTTAAATTATTTATTTAAAGTCACTAGGGGAGAAATGGTCAGTCCATTAGTTTCAAATTATATGAAAATAAATCATTTTGATAAAATAAGAAAGCTGGATGGTATTTACAAATCACTTTTTTGTGATCACAAATTAACATAATCCTTTTATAAGATCCAAGAACGTTCTGAAACTACTAATCTTTTTAAATCTCAAAAAAACACTTAATTCAGAATGCAAATCATTTATTAGAAACAGCACTAAATAAAAGATGTTTCCTGTCTAAAACTGCCTCTTGTCTTCCAAATTGTAAGAAACTCACTGTGCTCATTTTGAAGCTTTTAAAATCATTTAAATCCACTGTTAATTTATAAAAACATTTAGTAATAGTTTCCACAATTAAGAAGAGGAATACTATCAAGTCCATTTCATTATTATGTACACATATATGGTGGCAAAAACATTCTAGAAATGATTCTAGTTTGTGTAACACCTTCATGAATTCATTCTGTTTCCATAGTTCAACCCTTAGTGACACCCGGAAGAACTCAGCTACTTGGAAACCCTTCTGCATAGACAGACATATTGCTAACTTTGAGTATGTGACAATTGTTAGAACCCTTCATCCACTATGCACACACACAGAATAATATACTTTTTTGATATGGGTATCAACATTAGAGGCACATAGCTGGAAAGGTAAAAACTTACCAGTGCCCCTCCCCCATAAAGGGAGGTACAACTAAAAACAAACTCAATTGACTCAAAACCTGTTTATAGCTAGTCCTTACAATACTAGCCACTTAAAAGGTCAATGAAGATTAATAATTAGAAAAAAAGATAAGCAATTTGTGCAGCATAATTTGGACTGTAGAATTTCCTAAGTGGTCTAAGTAAACCAACTTGACACAAGTGTTATAATCACATTCTTATTAGTAAGGAATATTCACTGCTTAATTTATACTAAAAACAAGAAATCTTGAGCAAATGAGAATAAATTAAATTATATAAGGGAATGTTGACATTTTAGGAGGCTACTTTCCTAGAAGCACTGCCAGGGGCAAGGAGAAAATGATGTGCCTGTTCCATTAATCCTATCTTGGGGGGCTGGAGAGGGGGCTTTTAACAGGTTTTTAGGGGGAGGCGGCGGAAAGGCAGGCTAGGGAAAAAGAATTTCTAGGAAAAGTGGCAATCCAAAGAACAGAGTAAAATAGGAATAAATGCACTATAGAACACAAGCCATATTACTGGACACCCCAAACTACTCAATTTTCAATTAATATCATACAGAAAAATCTGCCTCTTCTTTAACACCACTATGTTTTTGATGTCCACTGACTTAATAAACCACCATCTAGTTAAAAAATTATGTTATATGTTAAACCCACAATGTAGCTTGAATTTTCTTATTTATAAACTATGGCCAGAAAGTACTGTATTCACCACTGTGCCAACTTTAAAGAACCAAATAAATATGATCGCTTGATCTAAAGAATATTTCTAACACTACAGAGAGAAGAAGAGAAAGGAAAACAATAAAAAAAACTTGGTGGAAACTTTCTATTTTTGACAATATTAAATTCCTTTTAAATTTACAACTACCTTTAAAACACGGACTTTTCTTCAAGAATGGAACTAACACCTTTAAAACCAGTTTTCCCAAATGTCTCTGCAACCACTAAACCTAAAATATTAAAGATACTTGAATTTACATTCTGTATTTGGGGAATACACACCCAAAAATTTGCTTTTGTAAAGAATGCAGAAAATGATTAGTTCAAAAGGGGTTTATTTTTGGTGCACACATTTTCTTCATTGTGAATATACACGTGATTCTCTGTACACAGGAAACGGAATTATGTTCAAAATAATATAGACACAGCAAACAAGTTTCTTTGAAGTTACTAAAAATTATGTCTACTTAAATTAACATTCTAAAACTAAGTAAGTACTATTAATTTGAATAGTTAGTAGGTGTAAGGGAAAAGGCATCACACTACAGTAAACAAAACATAACATGCATTCCTCTTATTAGAAAAAAGACACTTTCAAGTATTTTTCTCATTTATGCTTTTTTTTTAACTGTGGGTATTTACAATTCCCACAAAAATGAGGTGCTGAATCCAGATATAGTGAGCAGCACCATGCAAAAGTTGCCCAGTTTTGCCAATCAACCTCAACCACAATCTACAACATAGTCCCTGGGATGGCAGGCCCCAATTCAAGTATGAAGAATCTGCCAAGTGGACAAAATAATGGTCTTCTCAATAGTATTTCCATGTAAAAAAATTAAAACACAACATTAGTTCAATTAGACAGGTTACTAAACATTTACGAAGTGAAGGAAGAATGCATTTTAGTAGTCTTATTAGTTGAGAAAACAATTTATGTAATGCACATCTTGAATGTATATGCACACATGTGTACATGTAAGTATAATATATTTAGAAAGCAGACACATGACATTTTTTTCATGCTTGTGACCTGGTGTTGTCAACAGGTCCACTCAAAAGTTACCTGGCTGTCTATCTTCTGCCTGACCCCTGAAACGACGCCTGCGGCTACGATTGCGTCGCTGGGGTTTTTTTTCACTATCATCTGTAATTGCAAAGTTTACCATGAACTATTCTGACAAAAACAAAAAACAAAATAAAAAAAAACTTCTTTCCTTCAAAGATTTAAGAAAAGCGAGAGAGAACCTTTTAATTAAACAGGGAAGATAAAACAACATACATTACTGACAGGAAAATAATTTTGTAGTTTTAGCCATTTCAAATAGATTAAAAATGGAATTACCATCTGGAAAGTAAGAGGGTTTTAACTCTTAATTGAACAAACTGAAAGACTTAATTTAAATTACCATGATTCAGGAATAAAGTCTTCCTTTCCAATACAATTTAGTTTTTAGCAAAGTTAATAACATTTTAGCCCTTTGAAAGTTAATGCCTACTCAATATACATACCTTCACTAATGTCATCATAATAATTTCTAAAGAAGCAAGCTGAAAGCCCAATTTTGGTTTATGAACAGTAAGAGTATTAAGTGCCTTGCAGTTTGAATATTTATATTGATTTAATGGCATCAAAGGGCACTTTTAATAAACACTTTCAAGTTTCAAATAATTTGGTTATATAAATCTGAAAACCAGACATTTCAAACAGATACAAAGCTATCTACCTTGTTTGAATTGAAGTAAACACTAAGAAAACTTCAGTATGTGAATTGCATTAAGTTTGGGTTTTGTTTTGTTTTTGTCTTTTGAAAAAAGCATCATACATTAACAATAGACAATAATATATCTTTTCCCTAAGTGCTTACATACCTAGCCCATTTTCGTTAACTGAAGCTGTATCAGATTCAGTCATCCCATCCATCAGAACAGCATCTTCATCAGTCCTTCGTCTACGAGACCGCCTACGACGGTTAGTACTGTGATGAGATTCGCTGGCATCAGTGTCTGCAGTCTGATCAGATTCTGTATTATCAAGTAAGCTGTATGGATTGCTGTCTGGATCTTTGAGCACTATATGCATGTCAGAGGCAAGAAATATTCGTTTAAGAGAGCTGCAGTCATTAGAAATGCTTTGATCTATATTGAACTACATCTACAATTCTCCCCCTATATTCCATATTCAAAAAAAATGTTTCCTGTATGACTATTTCTCCTGGAAAGTAATATGAAGAACTTTAAATGGCAATGAAAAATTAAAGCAGAAGATGAGCAAACACCCTCACCTTCCTACCACTTCTCTTTGACTTGTTTTGAACATGTATTAGAAAACAGTATATTATTACTTGCTATTTTTGACATTCACATCCTTAGCTAGTCCTACCCAGAAGCTAGAGAAATGAAAAGTGGAGAGACATAAATACACAATTTTGTCCCCTTTACCAAGTTCAAGGTGTCAGCTGCTTCTTTGTGCTAATGTTAATGTGCTATACCCAAGTAAATCACAACACCTGCATTCCATGGCATAATAGAAATGTTACTAAACTGAAGCAATCAATACAAGTCTATACAAAAAAAAATCAAACTAAGAAGGTTCAAATTCTAACTGGTTATTGGAAAATATAAAGTTGACTAGTACTCCCATCTCCAGAAACAAAGAATGAAGGTGGGGTAAAGTAGGGTGAGGGTGAGAAAGGGAAAGTTTTAAGATATAATCATAAGGAAAAAAATACCCATCTTACCTATGTGCATTTATTGCCTCCACCAATCAAATTATAGAAGAAATTCACCTAATCACGATTTTTCCTTTCTAAGTTTCCGTAACAGCTAGCAAGCTAGCATCTTTGCAAAAGACACTAAGTTTATCCATTAATCATAAGCACTAGGTAAAGTACATTTATTGTGCAATTCAGCATACTACAATTTTACAAACCTTGGTAATAGTAAGCAATGTAGTAAAATATAAAAGTATTTCCCTAAAAGCCTGTAAAATAAACTTAGGGCTCAAAGAAGATCACTGGAACCAGAGTACCTTTTAAAAATTGTGTGATTTGTTCCAGTTTTTTGTAGTTTGTAAGCAAGACTGGTATATAATTATATATACGTATGTTCTGTAACATTTAAAATACCATATAAACTTTCACGAGGTATATATATACATTAAGAAAACATGGTTTTCTTAAAGTGGTATACAATAAAGATACGTTAAGGCTGTATCTATGACATAATCTAGTTCACACATCTCTAATGATTCTGTCCCCCAGCCCATTAAACTAAGCAAAAACATTCTCACAACTCCTACCAAAAAAAAAAAAAAAAAGGGAAGGAAGAAAAAGACAAAGTTGCTCATGCATCTCAGTTCTCAGTCTTCTATATAGCTCAATTCCTCAAACAACACAAAAATTTTTAAATTTCACAATTCTTCCCTGTTCCCAAAATCGTACATAGTACAGCAAAAGTTCTCAGTTGATTTTCAACATTAAGAATATTTAGTATTACATAACTTAGATCTCTCTTTGCATTAGAATTTTCTGGGTCTGGCAAACAGAAATATAGAACCCAAAAATTCTAGCGGGAAAAAAAAAACATTCTAATTAATTATGTAAGCCCCCCAAAACTAGAGAAATCTTTGACCACTGAAACAGAATCAGCCAACCAAAATTTCTGACTGGAAAATTCTAGCTAAACCTTCACTGAGAAACACTCTCCAAGGTTTCTCCTTATCATATGCTCCACTACCTTCCTCAGCGAGAAGACACTTGGGGAATGAATTAACTTGTACAAGGTTATATACTGTTTACAAAATAAGGATGCTGACATAGTATATAAAAGACTACCAGAACTGATGGAGGATTTGCCACCACGTGGTCCACCACGACCTCGACCCCCTGAAACACTTCTCCCTCTTCCTCCTGGGCGTCTCCTACTGTCACGCTGATGTCGGCTCTCTCGATCATCTTCTCCTGCCAATGACCAATCACTCAGCTCGTCTTTACGCTCAGATTCTGTTTCAGAGGGGTTAGACAGCTCAGAGTTTGTACCTTGGGAAAGAGAACATAAGCCAATTAGATTCTTGATTTTTTTAAAACAGGGAAAATAAGGAGTGAAACTTTCCAAAATTATTTCCTACAAATTATTTTAATCACCCTATTAATCACCCTATTAATTGGCTGATTCAAAGGAAGCTAAATTAAAATTAATGTGAAATTTACTAAGTAATAATCAAATATAATATACTAATAATATAGGATCTACTAGTGGGAGATTAAAAATTGGTTTAGATATACTATAACTTGGTAATTATACTTAGCAGAGATTTGTTTCCATGAATACAGAAAATAAATATTAAAACAAGCAAAAAAAAAAAAAAAAAAAAAAAAAAAAAAAAAAAAAAAAAACAAAACAACTTGCCCACTTTTAGGTTTTAGTATAATGAAATAACCACTATTATATTTTAAAGCAAATTTAATCATATTCAGAAAAACGAATAGTTTAATTGTACAGTGTATTCTACCATTATTTTATTGATTCTAGGAAGCACACTATTTCACACTTTAACATCTCTGAAATCACAGTGTTTCTCATAATTGATAGTGTCTTATAAATTGTGAGTGTATCTTTAGTGGTTGTACATAAAACAATTACATTTTACGAACAGTGGCTTAAATTAGAATACACTATTTGAAATTACAGAATAAATTTTAAGAATGTTACTGAGAAGAGGACTTTAACCTGACAGAAAAATTTATCATGACTCTAAGAGTTTACAGACCATTTCTAAGGTTCCAGTGACCTATTTTAATAGTGATCTTTTAAAAATTTAAACATTGCAAAGATTCTATAAAAGCCTGCAATATCATTATTATATCACAATTATGTGTTAGATTTAGATGACTCAATCACTACAATACTCATTTCCACTTCTATTCTTTGTTAATTCTGGGATGCCACTTCCATCCCTCCCTTTTATATCAAATATCCAAATAGATCTCTCCTTGAGAGCCCAGTTCAATTTGTAGTTTCAGACCAATTTAACTGAAAAGACTCCTCCCCTCCTCTTATTTCCTTAAAAGTAACATGTATCTATCATGCAATGCTGTCATGTGTAGTTTTCTATTTTTTTCCCTTTGGATTTACATCTCCCTTGGCCTATGGTAGAGCTTTCTTCTACCTCTAAATGCCCCCCCACACCTAACAATGTGCACAACAATTCTCTGTTAAAGCAATCTGCTGCATGACTTTGATATTCATTTGCTCATCTCCCAAATAAAAGTGATTCCATGATAAACCACAAGTTCCCTAGAGTTAAACCCCAGTCATTTGATGATGGAAGTAAAACGTAAGTATTCTTCAGATGCACAACAGTAAGGCACCCACGATAAAACTTAACAAATGAAGAGGCCTAACAATTTCCTTTCTCCTTTAAAGAAAATTCTTCAACATTCATCTTTTTTTCTCCACTTGACATTAAATATGGATGTAACCAGTCAATGATATAAGAATGACTTAGTTGGAACTTTTATAAAAAATACAGCAAGTTTCTAGTACTTACACTCAAGTGTGTTTATTAGGAATGAGAATCTCACAAAAGAGAATGTCTCTCCCAAACACTTATTTATCCAAATGACAAAAAAGAATTTATTAACTGATGTCACGGTTTTGTTGGAGTAAGGGCAATTTATCATTTCATGAGTAGTGAAAACATCCTTTGGAATGTATCTGAATTTATTGACAAACCTATGCACTGCCTGAAAACATTACCAAAATCTGAAGATAAGTAATCTCATTTTTTAAATTTTTACAAAGTCCCTATTGAATTCTCTCTAAAAATACAGTGTATTTAACTCAATGTCACAAGCAAGGGAATTCCTACTAAAGTTTAACCTAAATCTAATATTCACAGGAGTGCTGATACATAGGGGCACATGTATCCCAATGTTTACAGCAGCACTTTCAACAATAGCTAAATTATGGAAGGAGCCTAAATGTCCATCAACTGATGAATGGATAAAGAAGATGTAGTTTATATATACAATGGAATACTACTTGGGAAATGAGAAAGAATGAAATCTGGCCATTTGCAGCAACATGGATAGAACTGGAGGGTATTATGCTAAGTGAAACAAGTCAGAGGACAGATACATGTTTTCACTTATATGCGGATCTTGAGAAACTTAACAGAAGTCCATGGGGAGAGGGAAGGGGGAAAAAATAGTTACAGAGAGGGAGGGCAGCAAACCACAAGAGACTCTTAAATACAGAGAACTGAAGGTGGATGGGGGTGGGGGGGTGGGGAAGAGGGGAAAAAGAGTGCTGGGCACTGAGGAGGGCACTTGTTAGGATGAGCACTGGGTGTTGTATAAAAGCCAATTTGACAATAAATTATATTAATAAAAAATATAGTATTCAAAAGACTTAAGGGGGAGTGGTCTAAATCATAAATGCATTTCAGTAGATAAGACAGATACTGAAGTCAAAAACAAAAATGACTAATGAATTGGCTAGTGCTTTTGCTTTATTCATATTAAATAAAGCTTAAACGTTTCTGGGATGGCAAAAAGAACTTTGCAGATGTGATAAGGTTAAGGATACTGAGGTGGGGAGATTATCCAGGTGAGGCCAAACTAATCGAGTGGATCTCAGCTACAGAGAACCAGAGACAGAGCAGCAGAACTCTACAGTCACTGGCTTTACAAAACAGACAAAGAGGGGGTCAGAAGCTGGAAATATCAAGGGAACAGATTCTAACCTGGAGCCTCAAGAAAGGACGAACATACAGTCCTGCTGACAATTTTAGCCCACTGAGACTCATGTCTGACTTCTGACCTAGAAAACTCTTAATACATCAGTGTTAAAGCCTTTAAATTTGAAATGTGTTAAAGCATCAACAGAAAACTGCAACCATTCTTTTAATTTTGTAAAATAGAAGTTAATGAATCAAAAAAAAATGATTTACACTGGGCTTTAAAAATGATTCAAAGTAATCCATTTTTTCATGACTCCAAATACTTATTTTTAACAGAACTTTACATATTTTCCCCTCTCCAAAACTTCTAAAAGCTCTTATGAAGATGCTTTACATCCTTTTCAATGATCATGACTGCTTAACAGCAAAAGTACCATGTTTTATCAACTCCAATATGCCATCCATTCACTGAAAGACATATTTTGTGTGCCACTAAAGAAAATGTTGCCAATTGCAGTTTTAAAACATCATCCATTCTAAGGTATATACCAACTTCAGTGCTACTAGAAAAAGTTTCTTACATGACTGACACACACACACACACACGTATATGTGTGTGTATATATATTATCACCTAAAAATCCTGGTATTAAGTAGACAAGAGAACATCTATAACCAAATTCAAATGGTTTTCTCTCAAGCCCACTAAAATTCAATAGCTATTTCAACAAACGCAATGATACTACTAGTCTGCAAAGTCTCAGAGGTAAGAGTGCCATCTACTGAACAACTTGCATAACTTTCTTCAATCCAGAGGATATTCCCTCTACCACTCATAAAAACTTATTATCTAATCATAAAAACTTATTATCACTTTCAACAAAGGTATTTTGCAAAAGACTGGCCTCAGTAAGTTGACTTCCCAAGGGCTTATAAAAGTCTTCAATGAATTCACCATCCTCATCATCCAAAAAAAGCCAAATCTAATTATCTGTACTAGTAATTTGTGGCTCTAGAATCATTCAATATACTTATTTTCTCTTTAATCACTCATTATCTGTCTTCTGTATTAAATGTATTTTCAAGAATACAGTAGTACTTCACAATTCTCAGATCTTCACATGCTAAAACATGTTCCTGGAATTTTGCTTTTCAGCTCTCAATACAGAATTAACTTTAAATAATAAAAAATATCAAGAAATTAGAACATGGAAATATATGAAAGGAAAGGGATAATTAACCTTTCAAGTCTACAACAAATCAAAGTACAGATTTAATATAATGTTGGCATTAGATGAGTCTTCAAACATGAAATCAGATGTGGAATCTGCACACTGTAAGCTTTTATGTATTCCCACTTTCTCTAAATGCCTTCTATTTTGGAAAAGGCTTATGAAATATTTTCCTAAAGCAGTTAGGATGAACAGAGGAATGGAGAAAAGAGAAGGAAAAGAGAAAGGGAAGAAAACAAGGGAAGACAAATCAGGTCACTGCTAAGATCCAAGTCCAAATGCAGAAAAATGGAACTCCGAAGCTGAAGAAGAATAAGTGAAAATTTAGGATTAGAAAATTGTTGACCACCACCATCCACTGGCCCCTTCATACATCGGTTAGGGCCCCATCCTCACAATGAAATACATTTTAGAAAAATGTTCATCTATAAAGTATTGATTTGGTTCTGGCTTTTAAAAAGCCCTCATTTTAGTGAAATGTTCTTTGGACAAAATATTGGCAGATGTGAGAGATTTATATTCAAAACTGCCAACAGAGCTATTAAGTATATTTTAAAAAGCTAGTACAGATGTGCTACATACAACCTTAGCACACTAATTAGCATAGTATTTCATTTTTACTTCTCCTGGAGGGTAGGCAAAAGAGGATTAAAAAAAAAAAAAATGATTCCTAGCAGTATCATCACCATTAGTAGGTTTGATATGTTTACATTCTATATATAAATATGTGTACAACAATTCCATATATATTTAGAATAAACATGATCATGAACTGCCAACCTAACAAAAAACATGTTTGATCTCATTACATAGCTCCTTGAACATCATATACCTTTTACAGTCATTACTATAAAGACATATGACTTGGAACACTCTCCTGCCCTCCACGCCAAAACAGAGTGAAGAACTAACTAAATCAAAAAGTTTAAAAAAAAAAAAAAAAATTGTTTTTTTTACCATAACCGGAGGTGTAATTAGGGCCCCGACGACCTCTGCCTCTTCCACTATAAGACCTAGAACCTTGTACAGAAGAGACGGTACTTTCATCAGTGGCATATCCTTTTTCCTTTTCAGGCCCTCTGGTGGAAGAAGGTCTGAAACCCATACCAATCTGTCGTAGCTGTTCATCAATCTGTAGGCGTTCCATTCTTAGCTGTTCTACTTCCTATGAGTAAAACAAAAAAGGTAAATATTCTTCTATGTTGTATCATTTTTACCATCTTAAAAAAAAAAAAATGAAGCTATACTACTCCCTACCAATGAAAGAAACTATGATCGTGACCAATTATTTGGTAAAATACAACTGTGTACTTAATAAATACAATTCACAAGGTCATTTGCTGACTCAATTCATTAAACATTTATTAAATACCTTACTGAGCACCAACTACGCTAAGTATTACAGGCATACAATATTAAAAAAGACAAGGACTCTCCATGTTCAAGGGTATGTTTAACGGACAAGCATTAAACTATTTGTTGGTGGTTACAAGGTAGAATAAATGTTTCTTATGCTAGGGCAGTATTCTCACTGGGAGTTTTAGTTCCTGTATGTAATAATGTATGTATGCATAAACTGTTAAATAGCTAATAATTACACCATATTACCAGACTCAACCCTCAAGAAATTAAAACTCTGCTAAGTGGGATATAGGTGCCATGTATAAGAGGGACTATTAACCTACTTTTCCATCAAAACAGTGACACCCAAGTTGTGGCCTAGAGGTACCAGGAGACTTGGTCATTCAGAAACTAAGGTCATTACAAGATGTGAAGGTAAGGTAACTTGACAAAGCTCTTGACTAAAAGGTAGTAGAGTACTAGAAGATAAAGCATGAACATAAAATGCTAGACTGAACTAAGATTTCTAGAGATGAGTTTCAAAAGAATGGTATCAGATGTGCTTTCAAAATATTAACATAGCAGCAATGATATGAGTGACTAAAAGAAAAACCCACTACTAGAGACAGAGCTGTTGAAGGTTTTACAAGAGAAACTTAGTAATAAAAGTAAAAAAATAACAATTGTAACTTTTAGTAACTTATAGGGCATTTTCCTAAAACCCTTGCTCTTTATTTATCAACTCAAATAGATTATATTAGAAACAATGGTTAAGATCAAATGAGGTCTACAGGGTAGTGCATCTGATTCAGAGAACACCAAAGTTACCAAAAAAGCACACTTTCACTCCCAGTTCTCTGCCCTATTTGCACCTAAAACATCAAGGTAAAATAAAATGGTTTCACTGTAGCACAGGTAGATACATAAAGTGATGACAGTCACATTATAGGAACACAAGCATGATCATTTCCTAAAGAGTAAGGAAAGAAATATAACAGTTCAGAAAAAAGAGAAACAATGTGCATAAAGCCCATCATTTTATTATGGGACTTTAAATTTTTAAAATTTTTAAAGGACTTTTTACTTTTAAATTCTCATGTAGAAAAACAGGGTAAATCTGAAGCTTGATTAAATTAAATTATTTTAAAATAAAGAATTGAAATTTAACATGAATATAAAATTGATGTAACCTTTAGTTTAACATGTGAAGCAACAATGACATGAATGTGGAACAGCATACAAACCTTTAGATAAGCAATATGGTACTCTAAAAGAACTTGCACATTTCCGATGCTTTCTTTAGTGCCAACAAATACAAATGGAACCATACCCTGTAAGAAAACACAATGTCTTCAGTATTTAATATTTTAACAAAGTTCTAGTATAAATGTGACATACCAATGTAGAATTTGGAAAACTTTTCTAAAACAGCGATTTAAAATTTTAAATTTTTACTTTTAAAATACCAGTTTATAACAGATTTTCTAATTTCTAATTCAATCTTTCTCTGTATACAAACCAACCTTTTAAAGACATTTTCCTTGAACTGGTATGAATTTACAGACTAGATATCTCACCTTGGTGGTGATGGCTTTAAAATGGTAAAGTACATCACCTAGATTATCCCTGACAAGGGCACATAACAAAACCGTTAACATCTGTGTATTGGAGGGAGTGCTTCCTGACCATTAACACAAGTCACCTAAGGAATACAAACATTTACACAATATAAAGGAATTACTAATATGAGCATTTAGTCACCACTATTAAAGCAAATCACAGGATTAACTTTGCTGAATTTATGAAGTAGTACACTTCCAGCTTCTTAATGGCTAAGGAAAATAAGTAAAGCCTAAATACACTCACCCAATCAGTTTCAGTGCCTTGCCTTATTTTGATTCTACAAATTAGTTCCTAACAGCTATTTAAACAGATTGGCTTAGAGAGCCTGAAAAAAGGGAATATAACAAGCTTAGGAAGTACAGAAGTCTTGACCCTGTCCTCTGGAATTCACAAGCAGATATAAGAGAGTGCAAAGTTGGGGCGCCTGGGTGGCGCAGTCGGTTAAGCGTCCGACTTCAGCCAGGTCACGATCTCGCGGTCCGTGAGTTTGAGCCCCGCGTCAGGCTCTGGGCTGATGGCTCGGAGCCTGGAGCCTGTTTCCGATTCTGTGTCTCCCTCTCTCTCTGCCCCTCCCCCGTTCATGCTCTGTCTCTCTCTGTCCAAAAATAAATAAACTTTGAAAAAAAAAAAAAAATTAAAAAAAAAAAAAAAGAGTGCAAAGTGAATTAATAAGGGGGGGGCGGGGTGGAATCTAAAACATTTTAAGCACATACTATATTTCTGGGAGTGTATTATTTATTCTATATCTGTATCTTAATATTCATTAAAAAGTAACTTTAATACTCCAATTAAAAAAAAATAGTCCACTTTTACAGTTGAGAAAGCAATTTGCCCGAAGTCATATAATTAGCAAATCAGTCAGCCAATTTCATATCCGGTCACCTAACTCCAAATAACAACTACATGTTACTTGCCAGAATCTACACTAAGGAAAATGGACAAATAAAACAAAGTCCCTATTCTAAAGGCAATCACAATCTCAGAAAAGATACTAAACATTTCTGCAATAATCTTATTATGTAATATTAGTGATATCAATAAAAAACACAAGAATATTAAAGTAGAATATGGACTATGCCACCACCCCAGATATGGAAACTTTGGGAATTCCTAAGAATATTATTAAAGTAAATGTTAAAAACAAATACAATTTACCAAGTAAGTAAAGAAGAGAAAGTCATTCCAGACAGATGATCTGGAAGGAATTAAGAGAAATACAATGCCTTGACCCTGAAGATGAGATGCTATCACCAGTTAGCTACCTCCAAGGGACAGGCAGAAACACAACCTTAAAGGCACATATACTACAAAATATTTTAATGACTACTATAAAGCCACAATAAAAAATCTGAAGAGTAAATGATTATTACTAAATACACAGATTTCTAAGAGTTTTTTCAGTGAAATTTCTTGATTTTTTAAAAATACTAGTAACTGATCACTTATATTTAATAGATGGCACTGAGACTACCAACTAGCACATGGTTTGTTCCTAATACACACACACACACACACACACACACAAATCCACTGGAGTGAAAAATTTACATACTTAAAAAAAACCCCGCAAATGAAATACAAATGAATTTCTGAATTACCTACATGTAGGAAAGACCTTGCCAAGCATGGCAAAATCAAATGTCTTAAGTCATAAAACAAAAGTCTTAAAAAATCCCAACAGCATACAAAATTTATGGGGGGGGGGGGGCGTATCAAGGAGAAAGAAAGAATATTTACTACAAATATGAAAAGACAAAAGACTAGCTTCCTTAAAACACAAAAGCTCTGGGGTGCCTGGGTGTCTCAGCAGACTCTTGGGCTCCACGCTGAGCTTGGAGACCACATTTATAAAACAAACAAACAAACAAACAAACAAACAAACTGGTGGCAAGTATGTGGAAAATAGACATAATTCCTACACTGGTAGAAGGAATGTGTGGTGTGTGGGAAACTAAGAAGATCTAAAAATTTAAATATCTTTTACCCTTTGATCTAAGAAATCCACTTCCAGGAATTTACTCTCCAGTTGTAAAGGATGTTTGCTGCAGCACTGTTTTTAGTAGCAAAACAAAGACATAAAAAAGGCAACCAACAACCATCTAAAATCTATTAGACACAATGGAGAGGGGAGAGATATGGACACAACATAGACACTCATTTGTTTTTCACACTATACCCTTCTGTGCTAGTCTAACTTGTATATAAATATTATTTATTTTTCAGTGAAAAACTCAAATCCACCAACATGGGGCTTCAACTCAGGACCCTGAGATCAAGAGTCACATGCTCTACTGACTGAGCCAGCCAGGCACCCCTCAAACCCAATGTTAAAAATTGATATAAAATATTTATCAAGCACCTAACCCTATATAATTCATTGGGCTAGAGTAGAGAATATGAGAATTCAGATTTCATTTCTTGATTCAGAGTCCATAATGTGGCTTGGTGAGGTTAAGATAATAAACAGAAGATTGAGAGAAAAACCATTAAATACTCAATTATACAGATAATAATTGCTATGATAGAGATAGAAAAAGACCCTCTCAGGCTAAAGGTGGGTCACCAAGGACTTCAGAGTAAACAAGCTATAAACAGAGTTGGCCACGGGATTTAGCTTATGAAATGGTAGCCCCAAGTAAGTGAATGCCAACCTTCAGATTTGCCTTAAAATGCGACGTTTTGAAATTTTTTAAATTTTACACATTATAGGTTTCTAGCTTCTCTTAATACCAAAGATACAGCAACACATAACACATACATTCCCACATGGCAACCAGATAAAAGCTAAGCAGCATCTGTTTCTTCTATAGAAATGGACCGTGTACTCCCCTATCCCTGGTCTTGTATAACCCAACCTGCTTCATCATTTAATAATCTGCTTGGTTTCTGTAAGCATGTAAGTTTCTTAACCCTGGCACAGAAACAGGGGTGACACTGACCAAAACTACAAACAGTATATAGTACGGTGAAGTTCTTATTTATGAAGAAAGACCTAAAAGAGTCAGCCTGCAACAAGATTTTTCTTTTTTTTTTTTTTTTTTTTTTTTTTTTTTTTTTTTTTTTTTTTTTTTTTTTTAAGTAGGCTCCACACCCAACATGCGGCTTGGACTCTTGACCCTGAGATTAAGAGTTGCTTGATGTATCGACTGAGCCAGTCAGGTGCCCCACAAGAAAATGTTAAATACTAGAAAGCAACTAGAGGTAAGTCAAGCTAAGAGACGAACAGATAAGTAAGTAGATAAAACTAAGAAATTTACACTGGAGTCCTATAATGGCCCTAACCAATACACATCTTGATAGTCAAACCAATTTTTAGGCAGTGGTTGTATGCCAAATGGATTATTTTATACATTAAATATAAAGGGGAAAAGTGCAAATTCCAATACTATGACACCTTGATTTTAATCCCCCTCGCAAAGGCAATGGGAGGTAGGGTTGCTTAAAAAGTAAAATTTACTTGAAATTTAAAGCAAGTTTGGAAGCAGTGTAGGCATGAAACCAATTTGAGCCACCAACTACTCATTCTCTAAGTCATGTGTTTTTCTTTTTTTTTTTTGCCTCTACATTCTAATTAAAGGGAATAAAGGAAATGGCTCTTCAGTAGGCATCTTTACAACATCCAACACATAAGGACTCCTTTGACTACAGTTGTTTTTGTTTTTTTAAAGAGGTGGTTTTTCCCAACAGGCTAACAAACTCTTCAAGTAATAATCTATTCTGCAAAACTAAAGCTGCTTTCTAGGAGATAATTTGGAAGAAAACGCTTGCCTTATATTCACAAGCATACAAAGTTTAAGACACTGGAGCCACCCAGTTAAGAGATCCTTAAAGGGATGGATGAGAAGTAAGGAAGTGCAGTATAGACAAAACATTAACATGTGAGAAGGGACTGAACAAGAAATTTCAGAAAGTTGTTGTCAGAATAGCAACACAGGGGCGCCTGGGTGGCTCAATTGATTGAGCATCTGACTTCAGCTCAGGTCATGATCTCAGGGTTCGTGGATTTGAGCCCCATGTCAGGCTCTTTGCTAACAGCTCAGAGCCTGAAGCCTGCTTCAGAGTCTGTTTCTCCCTCTCTCTCTCTCTGCCCCTCCCCCACTCATACTCTGTCTCTGTCTCAAAAATAAACATTAAAAAATAAAAAAAAATTTTTTTGAAAAGAATAGCAACATAAAACCTTAAAGATTTCAATAAAGAAATAATCATGGCTTTCAGATTCCAAAAAGGGTCAAGTACACAGTTATTTACTAAGAATTCCTTTAAAACAAACTTTTGTCAGAGTATCAAATTTTACAGCTCTATCCTCTTGTTAAGTACAAAAAATAACTGTTGAAATTATCAAACTGAAGTCTTTTTATCAAAAATGGGTTTTTTTACTGAAGTACTAAGAAACCAAATGAGATCCCAAAGCCCACGTTGAAAGAGGACTTATTTTCTAAGTATGTAAAGCAATACAGTAAGGGACAAAAATTTTTTAAAAGAAAAAAACCCACCGTTATCAGAGTGGAAGTACATCACTACATACAACTCACCAAAATGATTTCCAAAATATAAAATAACATCGTAAGTTAGCCAAGAACAGAACATGGTGAAAGAAACAAGAAAGGAAAGAAGGGGGGGGGGGAGGGAGAGAGGAAGGAAGGAAGGAAGGAAGAAAGAAAGAAAGAAAGAAAGAAAGAAAGAAAGAAAGAAAGAAAGAAAGAAAGAAAGAAAGAAAGAAAGAAAAACAGGCAAAGCTCAAACCAAATTACATTTGGAATACTTACATCTTCTCTAGGTAGTTTATTTTCATTGTCTCCTTCAATTCTCACCCGAACCACACCAGATTTGTCCACTATTTCCTGAATAACTTTGCCATTTTTTCCAATTACTTTTCCTTTAATAAGAGAAAAAAGATAGCAATAAGTTAAAAATCAGTACTGCTATCCTTCCAACACTATCTCCCAAATAATTTGACTTGCTATCAAATTTTTAAAAACCAAGCATAGTTCCATCTTCTTAATCTCAATATATTCATCCTGAAAACTACTGAGAAATTTTTATCCTTGGTCTGAAACTTCCCTTCTCTTTAGAATTCCTAAGGCTACAGTTAACTGGGATTGACAATACTGCTCACATGTTAAGATATTTTCAAAGACTAAACATGTTCTATGTCATTTTTCAATATTTTTAAAATATCAATGCAACCCATTCCAAAAGCTTAGATATACAAATAAAGGCAAAAGAAACACTTTTATTTTGGCATTAATCATAACAATTTGTTTATTATATATTATTTTTAACAAATTCAATCTTGCTTTCATATTCAAGTTGCTACTCATCCAAAACACGCCTATGATTTGAACATACTTTTAAAATGAATATTCTCTTCAATGAAATGTCTGTAACATTTTTCACCAAGTTTTTAAGTATTTCACAGCTATACAAATACACATAGCATGTACATGGTATGCTATCTTCCTAGGTATGAAATACTGTATACAGACACAAATTCCAAATTATTTACCTTCTCCACACTTAACATGTAATGTGTCAAACAGCAGTTATTGAGTATCCAATAACGAAAACAGAAACTAAAAAGGGGGAAGGAAGATTCTCTTCCCCTTAGGAAATTGCTAGTTACAAAGACAGCAAAGTCAAAATACCAAAGCAATACTGGACAGTGTTACCTGGTAATGGAAGTAAATATTCAGGTAACCTTCCCTGTATGAAACAGATGTGTACACTCCTTATAAAAGTTACTAAGTCCAAATCCCCCCAGTTTTTTTTTTTTTTTAACTAAATCAAGCAATCTATTTCTACAATAAATTCATTTTGGTTGAAAAGAGTTAAAATAGAAACTTTTCCTATTGCATGCTTGAGAACAGTTTCCATTAAAGAATAAATGGGAACAACAGCAACAGTAAGTGGGTCAATACAGCAAAGACACCATTACAGGATTTTTCTATCCCTATTCTCAACCCTCCTTCCCCATTAATAACCCTAAATTTAAAAGCAGCAGCAACTGAACAGGTAAAAAAAGAAAAAAATACAGTAGGACAAGGGATTCACATGATGTAGATCTTCTCTGAGCAGCCCTAGCAGCAGTATATAAAAGCAACCTTCATTGTTAACACAGTGAAGCTCAAGCAGCAACTCCATCCTTGACCCTGCTAAAAATAAGCAAATGTCTTTTCGAAAAAACAAAAATCAGATTGATATATCATAATCCCTCCCCCAGAATCATTCATTGCCCCTTCCTTCTATGAACTATACCACTGGTGAGTGTACATCCATCACCCTTCTGGGGTCTGTGGCAGGGACCTACCTGCAAGTTTTATTTAGTCCCACCAGAGACCGTCAATATTTTAACTGATCATTTCCATAGTTTAAATTCCAAAGCATATTGACAAACTGAAGCAGACCTGTAGTATAAATTGAGCACTGAGCATAAATGCTGAAGGGACAGAGTAAAGAAGTGATTAAGGAAGGCTTCCAGGAGGCGAAAGGTTTCAATTCACTTTAAATCAATGACCACATAGTATTTTTCTTTTTGACTTAGGAGGGGTGGGAATGATCAGGGTCTAAAATTCTTGGAACCTGAATGTATAAGGAAATTCTCTTGAACTTACCCACCAAGAAGTCCTCATTCCCTTCTACTCCTCAGTCCACTTTTTCTTTTTCACTTTGACTAAGAATTTACTATTTTTCAAAAGACTGCTTCACCCATAAAACATTTTGAAGCAAAACGTAGCATTATTATACACAACAACCAAGAAATCTTTACACTATCTGAGTATTTCACTAATGTAACAGTTCACTAATGTAACAGTTGCTGCTAATATATATTTTCTGAAGAGTCCCAAATAATCCAAATCACCAAAGCCAACCAAGACAGAGTAAAAAGAGACATGACACATACTCAGATCATTGCACAGATAAATGAATAAACAAAAGAACCAGAGAACTACCAATATATCCAATTTTGTTATTTCTGAAATATCAGGAATTTTTACTCAAAATTAACACTACCACAAATTCTAGAAGACCAAGGCTATCTTCTACATACTTGTTGGGTTGGAAAAAACCCTGATTCCCATGCACACACTCACAGCCAAATCATTTTTACAAGTGAAGAAACCAAAGTTAAATTATGTTCTGTGAAGCAGCAACCACAATGTTAATGCTGATGGATGTCAATAATTGTGATTTAAACAAAACAGGGAATCATTTTCAAAAGCAGCTTTTTGAAGGTGATTTCATTTGACAATAAACATCTGATTATATTTTGTGTATTGTTTATTAGAATTATACAAAACCCTTCAAGCTTAGACTCAATTTTAACATCTAAACTCATCTTTTCAGTTCAATCTACAGTGAATAAAAACAAATAAAATGGAATTAACTTAATCAGCAGTATGTCATACCTATCCAAATGCTTAGGCAGAGCTAGAAGCAAACAGATAGTTGAAAACAAAGAAAACTGCCCAAGTTATTGTGCTGTAGACTTTTGTCCCAGGGTATATTAACTTGTTACTGGTGAAAACATCTTTTTAAATATTTTCTCCAGCTAATTTTTTTTTTTTAACAGTATTTGAAAAATAGAACACCTATAGCAAGAAATCATTTCCTAAAGGCATAACAGGCCTAATTAAATATAAATGAAGCCCAAGGGGCTCTGTTTCAGTAACGTCAAGAAACCACAACAGTGGACAAAAACTCAAGCATCCTCTAAACATCTCTGCTTTCTGTGAATGCTTATTTTTGTATTAAACGTTTAGGATAATCACTATTTAATACAGGACAAAAATTTCCCCATTTGTCCTAAATAGCATTTAAAAAGGACAGTTAGCACAGATGTAGAGGATTTAATACCAAAGCTATTAAACAACTCATCCCAAACTATAAAGCTCCTTTACAGCTTCAAACTCAAAATCTGGGGGCGAGGGAGGAATCTCAAAGTTTTGTCACTATCTTAATAAGCCATGGGTACAATAATTTTCATTAATGGTGTCAGAAACTTAGTAGTGAAAACTCCCCTCCTATCACAATCACCATCCTTTTCTCCTGCCCATGACTTCTTACCTTATTCTATGCCTTTGCAACAACCAATTATTATTTATTCAGGGCCTACTGTGTAGAAGTTTATTACCCTATTGTTAGTCCACTCTTACTTTTTCCTCTGCACTAAACAAAAGAAATATCACAAACACCTTCTCAAAAATTACGATGACAACTTTGATGGACATATGAATGATAAAAAGGCATTAAGTGAATAAGAAGATAAAGCCCAAGGGATGAAATAGCTTTTAAAAAACTTAATGACAAACTGTTATAAAAATCATGGATCTTATCAGTGAGTCACTCTGTACAGAAGAAAACTCCTTTACTTTTTTAATAGGATAATGAGATACAAGACACACACAATGTTACTAAAAAATGAAAAGTACCCCTATCAAATGTTCCCGTAACTATAAAATATGGTTATCAGAAACATTAAATCTCCATTAAATCACTGTATATAATTACTAACATTTAACTTATTTAATAGTTAGTAGAAGTACCTACCAACAAGATTCCTAGGAACCTGAATAAAATCCTCCACAAATTCCAAGAAACCTCTAGCCTTTTTTACAGCATCAGCACTCTGCAGAACGAGGAAAAAATAAACATAAAAAAGAATCCTGAAGAAAACCCCAACCCAAAATAAAAACAAAGAAATGAGAAGTTCTGAATTATTATGCTCTAGTACAAGATTCTGCTCAGCCCATCAATGTGACATTTTAAGTCAAGAAATTCATGAAGTACTTAAGAAAAAAAAAGAATTATAAAAAGCCTAGGAAAAAGTATACTATTAGAACATCTCTTTAAAAAAATCTCTTCTAAGCCCTTTTAAACTCCTAATAAAACAGCAAGAGTTAAACTTATCATGTTAGCCAAATTTTAACCTTATCCTAAATGTATTTGCTCTACACTCGCATATTCAATTTCTTCAGGTGAATGCTAAAAACAAATTGTTCATGGGGCAGCACCTGGGTGGCTCAGTGGGTTAAGCATCCAACTCCTGATTTCAGCTCAGGTCATCATCTCATACTTCGTGAGATCGAGCCCATTACTGGGCTCTGCACTGATAGCATGGAGACTGCCAGGGATTCTCTCAACCTCTCTCTCTCTGCTCCCCCACCCGTCTCACACTCATATGCTCTCACAACAAATGAAGTTTAAAATAACCAAATTGTTCACACTGTCTATACTGTCTGTGCAGTTTTTTCATTCTCAACATAAATTATTTAAAAAGCTATTTTTGTGCAGACATATTTTTTAAAAAGCACCTACTGATTATGATCATTAAAATTCCTGGGGCACCTGGGTGGCTCAGTCAGTTAAGCATCTGACTTGGGCTCAGGTCATGATCTTGCAGTTTGTGGGTTCAAGCACTGCATCGGGCTCTGTGCTGACAGCTCAGAGGCTGGAGCCTGCTTCAGATTCTGTCTCTCCCTCTCTGCCCCTCCCTCGTTTGCACTCTCTCTCTCCCGAAAATAAACGCTAAAAAAATTTAAAAAAAAGAAAAAGAAAAAGGCTCCTCTACTACATGCTATTTATAAATACCAGCGCCTGACATGTAGGAAGCCCTCAAAACAAAGTGCATTATTTATAATGCACATAAATCGGGAGTTAAAATCAGAAGCAGTTGGGTTAAGAAACTTCAGAAAACACTACATATTAAATACTCAGTAAATCTCTCATTGCCCCATATAATACAATATCCTCTTTAACCAACCTCCATGCATGTAATGATTACTTGGGCTGACTGATTTTTAAGTATTTTATCACTGGGAAACTGAAATTCCAGAGAAAATACAATCAAACAATAGTTATGCTCTAAGTTACCCAAGGTGGGGTCAGACAATAGCTTACCTCTCCATAGATTCTGAATGTGCCAGTATCTTCATCTAGCTCAATAGCTGTAACTCCAGGAACCTTCCTAGCTTGCTGTATGTTACTACCATGTGTTCCTATTGCCAGGCCCATTAGATCTTCTCTCACAACAAATTCCTCATGAAAAGCTGCCGCAAGTTGTTTTGTGCACTAGTAAAAGAGGTATGTTAGAACTTATTACAAAGGATTAAAAATAAAGTTTTTTACACATCGGTTTGCAGCATTACTCATAACAGTCAAGAAGTAGAAGTAAACCAAATGTCAACTGAATGAACAGATAAACAAAATGATATATGCATACAAAATGATTCGGTCCTCAAATGGAAATTCTAGGAGTGCCCGGGGGGTTCAGTTGGTTAAGCGTCCCAACTTCGGCTAAGGTCATGATCTCACAATTTGTGAGTTCAAGCCCCACATCAGGCTCTGTGCTGACAGCTCAGAGCCTGGAGCCTGCTTCAGATTCTCTGTCTCCCTCTCTCTGCCCCTCCCCTGCTCATGCTCTCTGTCTCTCAAAGAAAAAAAAGAAAAAAAAAAGAGAAGGAAATTCTAACACATGCTACAATGTGGACTGAGAACATTGTGCTAAATGACATGAGCCAGTTAACAAAAAAACTAATACTGTATGATTCCAGTTACATGGTTTCTAGAGTAGTTAAATTTATAGCAACAAAAAGTAGAATGGTGGTTGCCTGAGGTTGGGAAGAAGGGGATACGGAAGTTGTTTAACGGGTATAGTTTCAGTTCTGCAAAATGAAAAGTTCTGGAAACTGGTTGATTAACAATGTGAACATACTTCACACTCCTGAACTGCACACTTAAAAATGGTTAAAATGAGGGGTGCCTGGGTGGCTCAGTCAGTTGGTTGAGCATCCAACTCTTGATTTCAGCTCAGGTCATGATCTCATGGCTTGTGGGTTCAAGCTCCTAGGGATTCTCTCTCTCCCTCTGTTGCTACCCCTCCTCCACTCAGGCTCTCTCTCAAAATAAATAAACTAAAAAAAAATGAAAATGGCTAAGATGGCAAATTTTATGTTGGATCTTACCATAATTAAAAAAAAGAACTAAGAAAAAATATATAAAGGATACTCATTTGGCATCATGTAATAGGGGGAAAAAGAGTTTGATCAGCCTATTTAGTCATGATCACAGAAAATAGTAATTCTAAAACAATGTTCTGGAATTACTGATACAACAAGTTCCCCAATTCAGAGGATTCATTTTTCACAACACAGTCACATATCCCTTATTTCGAACTTTTAAATTAATAAGGGTATGCACAAATTTGTCCTAAACAAACGTCAATTCCTAAAAGATTTGAATGTATGTTGGGTTCTCCTAACAGTGGGCCAGTGAAGAGTAGGTGAAAAGAGAGGAGTACCTTAGGATAGGATAGAAAAGCCAACAACAGGCTCTTTTTAAAACTACATGCTATGTGTCCTCCTCTCCTCTTACGTAAGAGTTATTAAACTGAACTACTTACTAATGGAAGTGTGTTATGACTGACAGCTGACAGGTCACTAAAAAACAGTAAGGACAGAATAAAAAAAAACTAGCAATACAGTTTTCTACTGGACATCCCTAATGTGTTTCTAAGTTCTTTTAGCACCTGTTATCTCAGTCGTAACAAAAAACTCAACAGGCATTTAGCAAACAGAAGGCTATATTTGGGGAAAGTAACAAAAAACAATTGTTCTATAGACACAATGACTCCTGGTATTAGCCACAGAACAGGTCCCAAGTTGCCTTACCTAACAGTCAAGTAGTTTGAGCCAGGGAACTCAATATACTTATGAATAATATACTTATGAAACTAAGTGGGACACACAAAAAATCTTTTAAGTAAACCCACTTACTTCTAAATGCTTAGTGGCCTCTTCATTTCTGGACATAAGCATCAACTTCGTACGAATACTTCGCAAATGCATGTCACTTAAAATGTTTACTCTCTTCACAGTTGCTTCACTGGCAGACTATTAACAAACAAATTAATCACTCAAAAAATCTTATTTTTCAAGATAATACAAAGGGCTTCCACATAAAGCCTTCCTTGATTCTCAACTACTACACTTCTCTCCTCACCCACCATACCCTCTTCCACGAGTAATCTCTTTTCTGAATTCCCATATTATTTAGTTCTGCTATTCAAATTATGATTGGTGGAGACAGAAGGATCCAGGATCCCACACGTTAATAATTTCATGTTGTTAAGAATGTCGTATTTTTTCCTCCTAATTCCACAAAAGAATTTAACATTTTACAGCTGTAAAAATTTTTCTCCCACATGGATTAATAAATTCACTATTGTACCAAGTTAGCTTTTATCTTTTGAAATACTTAATTATAAAATCCGGAAAATATCTATTGACTACCTTAAAATATGGAATTATCTTACCAGTATCATTAGCTGTGTGGTTTCTGGATGGTAAAAAATTCTGCATGCTCCTACTGCTTTCTTAAAATCTTTATGTGCATTTTCATTAGCACACCTAGAGAGGAATTCATATTTAAGACTTGAATAATAGATTAAATTCAGAAGGCAATTATAACACAAACTAAGTTTTTCATTTCGACACTACCCATTAAAACTTTTGTTTATTAAAAAGATTTTCTATCAGAAGTTTCTGATTGGGTATTTGGGAAAAAAAGATTTTTGTAGCACTAAAAAATCCTCTTAATTCACAAAGCAATTCAGTAGTAAACAAAACTACTCACGCCTCTCTCAAATCCTCAGGAACATCCACTGTGCATTTAAAGAAGGTATTTTTTTTGACAGTTTTATTTTGATTGACAGGCCGAAGTCGTTCAAATGTGACTATTTCATTGTAAGTGGCATCACAAGCAGCATATTCAATGACATAAAACTAAAAGACATCAAAATACTTTTAAAATCCCATCTGAACAAAAATAATGAGCTTTAAATGAAATTCTAATTGCCTTGCTCAGCTTAACCAGTAGACCCTCCCCCTTGTGGCACAAATACTAAGTACAGCTTAGTTACGTCAATCTGATTTGCCTTAAAACTAGATTATATGTTCTTACAAGCATGAACCTTGGTGTCCTCACATGTTTGAAGTGCACCCCTGGAGAGCAGCTTTGATGTTTGCAAGTTCAGAAAACAAATAAAAATTAATGGTCTGATGAACTTTTTAAATGTATGATGAACTATTTATAAAGTAGGCATTTAGAAACAAAACTAAGAGTTGAAGTAGCATTTACAGAAACCAAGAGTTGAGATTATTTCCCTAGAAACTAGTCACAATGCAGCGTTAACATTACTTACCTCTCCTTTCATCATTCGAACTTTAGCCAACCACCATCCACATGGTTCTTGGTCATTTGCTCTTGAATACACCTAAGAAGAGGGGGAAAAAAAGGTCCTTATCTTTTTTTTTTTTTTTTTTTTTAATTTTTTTTTCAACGTTTATTTATTTTTTGGGACAAGAGACAAAGAGACAGAGCAGGGTAGGGGGAGGGAGAGAGAGGAGACACAGAATGGAACAGGGCTCTGAGGCTCCGGCCATCATGGAGAGCCACGGACGAGGGCTCGAACTCCGCAGGACGCATGTCGTGACCTGGCTGAATCGAGGGCACCTTTCTGTAGCATCCCGCAGCTGCCCGTCCTTATCTTTTGAATGAAGATCCTTCATTCTGAAAGACTTCAACGATATTATAAACAATGACTTTCTTAACGAGAATCATGAAACTCAGAATCAAAAAAATGTCACTGACTGAACTAGTGTGCCTACAAATAATTTTAATAAAGGTCACGACAGTTAAATTTTACTACTGAAAAACATAAACCCTTTTTTTGGGCCCATTTGGAACATCCTTGGAAATCTAATTCCAAATTTGAGTTTCCTAAACATAAGTATTTTAAAAGAATTCTTCTTACAAGACAGTTTAACACAGTGTGAAACAGGAGTTCTTTCCGTTTCTGTCAATACTGTTCATCTGCAAGCACTTGTGTTGTGGTGAACAAGTATCAGCAAAGGATAGCTAGAACTTATTAAAGAGTATTTGTAAATCTGATAACTATTTTAAATGTTGAAATCAAGGGGCCTGGAGTGTCTCAGTCGGTTGAGCGTCTGACTTCAGCTCAGGTCATGATCTCACAGTCTGAGTTTGGGCCCTAGTCGATGCATGTATACAGCTCAGAGCCTGGAGACTGCAGTTCTGTGTGCTCCTCTCTGCTGCCCTTTCTCCTCACCACTCTATCAAAAATAAGCCATAAAACATTTAAAAAAAATTTTATGTTGAGAAATCAAGAGCTGTTTTCAAAAAGAAACGCAATTTTATAATTAGCTTCAAGGATCACGGTATTTAGGATGCTCATGAAGAAACATCAAATGCAAATGGTTCATCTGAACAATAAATAAATTCTAAATTTAGTACCTCTGCAGGTACATAGGTATCTTCCAAGCATCCTATACATAACAACAAAAAAATCACCTTATATGTGCTCTATTTGTAATTATCAAGTAGTTTGTTAACGCAACACAGTTTCCATTAGGGATTAGAGTTATTGCGATACAGCATCTTGATATATCATTTTTCAATACGTAAATCAGGGGTGGAGGGAGGCTGGAGGAACGAACGACCAAGAAGTACCCCACAAAGAATGTGATTATATGAACTAAGGATGCCTCTGCAGAAAACCTACCAATGATAACACCCTTAAAAATGTGGGTTAAATTATTAAACATTACAAAATACTGTTAGGAAAGCCTGAAACTTCATAGGGTGATCTGAAGTAATCTTGAAGTGGGGAATACTGGGAATGTAAGCCAGTCAAAACCTCATGATCAACCGCAGTGCACCATGATCAGAAAAAGGAAGACCTATACCAATCAGGCTCAGTGGACTTAACTTTACCTGTACATTTTTATGAGCAAATCTACTTACGTCACAACATCCTTTCTTATAGGTCTCCAAAAATAAATTTTACTTTCTTTAGAGTAAAAACAAAACTCATTTGCAATTATTGTATGTATCCAATGGGTCCTCTCTGGGAAGTAGTGATCCTGTTTCGGATCTTGAAACACTTTTACTACTTCACCATCATTCATCAGTTATTTTCCAGTTGTGCTTTTAAAAAAAGATACAAGAAAGAATGATGAAACATCACCTGAAAGAACACAACAGTAAATATAGTGTTACTACTGCATCCTTACTGTAGTTTTTACTGCATGATCTTTCAAAAGATAAAGTATAAAAGACTGGGGCTTACGCCATTCTTGCAGTCTGCCTTTGGTTTTCACTGAATATGATTAAGAATTCAAATTTTTTTTTTTAATTTTTTTTTTCTTGTTATTTTTTGGGACAAGAGAGAGACAGAGCATGAGCAGGGGGGAGGGGCAGAGAGAGAGGGACACACAGAGATAGGAAACAGGCTCCAGGCTCTGAGCCATCAGCCAGAGCCTCAATGGCGAACTCAGAACTCAGGACGAGGATGTTATGGCTGAAGTGGACATTAACCGACTCACGCCACCCAAAATTTAAATTCAAATTTTTTAATCTCCCACCCATAACTGTAGACCACACAGAGGAAGAACTTTCATAACTTCAGGAATCAGGACTGATGCTGATAGCACCCTAGATTCGATGATGATGTGAAATTACAAGCGAATCTCCCCAATATGAAGCCCTCAGATGACAACAACCTAGATGGATATTCTCAAACAATACACTTCTAAGGGAAAAAAGGAAATTTAGTATTCTCATCAGTTAATCATTCCAAATTGGACTTCATCATACAAAAATCCTGAGACAAGACTGAGACCATTCTGTTTTCTAAAGGACATCAAGCCATATTCCATATTCTTTCATCTTTTGTTTGCACAAAATGTACACCATACAATTCATAAATGGACAAATGCCAAAACA